TCACTATCAGTGGGGTCCATATACTGTATGGTTAAGGCGCTCCACTCGCAATCTGAGGGTCGCGGGTTCGAATCCCCGTCACACCAAACATGCTCGCCCTTTCAGCCATGGGGGCGTTATAGTCAATCCCACTATTCGTTGGTAAAAGAGTAGCCCAAGAGTTGGGTGGTGATGACTAGCTGCCTTCCCTCTAGTCTTACACTGCTAAATTAGGGACGGCTAGCGCAGATAGCCCTCGTGTAGCTTTGTGCGAAATTCAAAACAAACAAACTGAAACATCTACAGTCGCATGGCCAGGTGGTTAGGGCACTCGACTCGCAATCTGAGGGTCGTGGGTTCGAGTCCCCGTCCCACCAAACATGCTCGCCCGTTCAGTGACGGTCAATCCCACTATTAGTTGGTAAAAGAGTAGCCCAAGAGTTGGCGGTGGGTGCTGATGACTAGCTGCCTACCCTCTAGTCTTACGCTGCTAAATTAGGGACGGCTAGCGCAGATAGCCCTCGTGTAGCTTTGCGCGGAATTCAAAACAAACAAACACCTGCAGTCAATGTACCGATTGACAACGGTGTTTAATGCATTCACCCATATATGTATACAACATATTTAAAAAATGTAAAAAATATTATTAAAGTGCACCATTTTCAGTGAAATTCACAAATTTTCTCGAGGGGAGCACACCCCCAATCTTAGTATGGTTCCGCAATTCATTTTCTTTTACTTCCAGACGTAGCATCTCTTTTATAAATTTCTGCATATGTTCTTGTAATGTGTTCTCAGTTGAAACAATTAAGATTTTTTTCCCTTATACATATATAAAGATGACAGACGTGAACTTTGGTAGCTTTGTGCATAACTTCAAACAAACAAAAACAAACAAGTACATGTGAGCCATCATTTTCTTTATTTAAAGAAAAGACTGGGATTTGACTTTTCAGTGCAAGCTATCCAGAACTTCTGGCCCGGCATGGCCAGGTGGTTAAGGCATTCGACTCGCAATCTGAGGGTCGCGGGTTCGAATCCCTGTCACACTAAACATGCTCGCCCTTTCAGCCGTGGGGGCGTTATAATGTGTCGGTCAATCTCACTATTCGTTGGTAAAAGAGTAGCCCAAGAGTTGGCGGTGGGTGGTGATGACTAGCTGCCTTCCCTCTAGTCTTACACTGTTAAATTAGGGACGGCTAGCGCAGATAGCCCTCGTGTAGCTTTGCGCGAAATTCAAAAACAAACAAACAAACAAACCAGAACTTCTAATACCGGTGTTACTGCTATTGCAGCTTTCAGTGAGAAAGAAACACCGTAATTACCTGACGTTTAGGGTAGTCTCAGCTGTCTCTGGTGATGTACGTCTTTGATTTCTTGGAAAGAATCTGAAGAAAAACATCACAGCAAGAGCTGGAATGTAGTAAAAGTAGAAAGGCAGAATAATTATTCAGCCATTTCTCACTGGTCGCTTCTGATATTGAAGGTTATCAGACCGTTTCTCTGAAGTTACCCACGTTTTTTTTCTGTGTATATAATGTAGTTGTGAACCGAACGAAAATATTTGAAGTTACTAGGAGTGAAAAGTACGTGGACTGATGTTACAAGATTCTTGGAGACTGTATGGCTATTGAATAGTGCATGTTTCAGTAATATTTTCACCTTAACCGTAAGTTCAAAACAAGCTTTTTAAACCTTTCGGAATATTATATAAAAAGATACACGAGCAACACTAAAGAAAACTTTTATTCAATTCACGTTCGCTATAGATTATCGTGATGTTCAACTACACATATTTATTTTATAACTAATAAAGTACGCAGTTGTTTTTGTTGTTTTGTAAGTATACCATCACTCCAAGAGTACTTGTATTTTTATCTTTTGAATAGGCCCGGCATGGCCAGGTGGTTAAGGTGCTCGACTCGCAATCTGAGGGTCGCGGGTTCGAATCCC